TCAAAAGGTTGTAAGGATTAAACTATGCCAGGCACATAACTGGTTATCAATAAATATTTACTGAATAAATGCTGAGTGGTTAAAGCGCAAAAAGAGAGTATTTAGGAAGTCCCCGTATACAGTGGTGCACTGGTCAATGTCAACAACCAGCGCTGCCTTCCCTTTTCTCAGCACCCCCCCCCACCAAAGCCCTGATTTATAGCACCTGCCTATTTCTGGGGTGTAAATGCTCCCACCATAGCAGATTTCAGGCTACTGAAGTGACGTCACTGAATGAGGAGCTGGGAAGAGGCACACACAAATGTCTCTCATGAACCAAAATGAGCCGACTCCAACGGAGGCATCACCTTTGATTATTATTAACAATCAATCTGAGGAAATGAGGATACGTGGTAGTTACCGACATCCCTTAAATTATTTTCTCTGAGCTACCACATTGAGAAAGATGTTGACAAACTGTTCCTTCAGAAGTGGAGAACACTCATTTCAAGGACCAGATCAGCCATCCATTCAATTTTATCTTATCTAAAAGGCAAATTATGCTTATTGTTGCAAAGCTTTAAAAGTTTCAAAGCTTTGGCACAACTCTGAAGCCATGCATTGCTCCGTGAAGCTATTCCTGTTTCTCTATAAAATGCAATGTGACCCTGATTTCCCAGAATAGATTGGGTTGCTTAATACTGAAAAAAAAGAGAAAAAGAGATGACTTAAAGCAACTCTGTACTTCCAAATTTGGGTGAAAATTACAAGTCTAAAGACACAAAAAATTCTAGAAAAAGTAATTCATTTGAGTTTCACGAGCTATATTTTTGGGGGTAAGGAATTAACAGTATGTAAGTTGATTTTATTCTTTCCAGATGCTCTTGAACATCTAAGTTGTGTTACTCTTTTTTTTCTCCTTCCTTCATCCCCCAAGAGTCAGTTAAGTGACTTTTTATAAAATATTGTAATATATATTTTATTATGTTATATTTATCAAATAGTTTGATGCCTCATCTTCTGATTTAAATTTTTTTCCCTTAAGGATCAGCTGCTTAAATGTTAAAATAAAGTAACAATTCCCAAAAGCTGTCAAATTGGATAAAAATGTTGTTTCTTTCCTTTGAAATTCCTTACTGTATCTGATAACAGTGGTAGGTGCATGGCATGATGTTGGTAACTTTTGTTAAGTAATAAACTCATGGACAAGAATCAAGCTCACAGATAATTCCACAATTTGGGGTGAGTCAGGGGGCAATCTCCTGGGTAAGTTGATTTAAAATTTTTTCTAAGACCTCTAAAACTATAGTCTTTGCTCTTTCTGTTTGCAGTTTTTTTTTAATTTTTAAACATTTTTTAATGTTTATTTTTTACAGAGAGAGACAGAGCATGAGTGGGGGAGGGGCAGAAACAGAGGGAGAAAGAGGATCTGAAGCAGGTTCCAAACTGTCAGCACAGAGCCCGATGCAGGGCTCAAACTCGTGAACCTCAAGATCATGACCTGAGCCAAAGTCGGATGCTTAACCAACCGAGCCCTCCAGATGCCCCTGCAGTTTGTTTATGCATCAAATTCTTACTATGTACCAAGTACTGGGCGTGAGAATATAAGATGGTGTCCTTAAGGAACCAAGACTCCAGCCAAGTCAGCCAAGTTATGGAGCAGGCAAACGCTGATGTGTCTCTACCATCTGTTCTTTGGGAGTCCAGAAGGGTAAGGGATTCATTTTCTTACTTTTCTGCTTGCCTTCAGACTCCTATCCTTACAAAAATAACCAGAATATTTTAAATGGAAACCAAAGCAAGGGGCTCTAATAACCTAATGTGAATTTAAAACTAGAATGCCTAACAACTCTCTTTATTAACCTTAGTGTGATATTTTTCTTCTATAAAATTATCTTTGCTTCATGGAGAGAAAAAAATGTTTGAAATGTCTCCAGGCAACCTTCAAACCTCATTTTATCCATTTTATTTGATATTTTTCCCACACCACCGTTTTCCAAAATAATGAGTTTCCCCACACTTTGAGTTTCACAATCACTTTCTTCTCTTTTCTTGCTGTATGGAGGTCCCATGATACAGCGGGAATCAGAAAGGCCATGTTACAAATCCTGGCTCTTACGTTTACTTACTGCTTATCACAGGGAAGTTATTTAATCTTGCTGAGACTCAGCTTTCTATTTTGTAAAATGAGGTTGATAATACCTACCATATGACTTGTTATTCAGGTTGAGTAAAATAATGACTGTAAACCATCTAGTACGGTGCCTGGCAGATAGTAAGTGCTCAGAATAGCACATGACAATAATGATAACAGCTATCACCTATTGTTACTGCAAAAACAATAATGCCCTTGAATGCCTTAAAAGTTGGTGATATCAGGGGTGCCTGGGTCGTTCAGTAGGTTAAGCACCCCACTCCAGCTCAGGTCATGAATCTCACAGTCCGTGGGTTCAAGCCCCGCATCGGGCTCTGTGCTGACAGCTCAGAGCCTGGAGCCTGCTTCAGATTCTGTGTCTCCCTTTCTCTCTGCCCTTCCCCCACTCACACTCCATCTCTCTGTGTTTCAAAAATAAATAAACAATAAAAAATTTTTTAAAAAGTTGGTGATATCAGAAGAAAATATTAAGAAACTAAGATGACTCACAAACAAAGTAAACTCTTGAAAAGGGAAGTTGATAAGAATTTTGCCAACAAACCCTAAAATGACAATTTGGAAAGGAGAATTGATGACACCAGTCATTTGGTGATCTCTGCTGCCTCAAACATTTTCTCTACAAGAAGACAACTTAGGTAACGTCAGCCATTTAAATACAGTCTATCAGGCGTTCCCGGTTAGTCTAGCGCCCCTGTTGGCGAGCATTGGCGCTGATGCTGTCTTGAATCCAATTCACATGCGACCTAACCTATCACCCAGTTCTGCTGATTCGGCCTCCTTATGGTTCCCTAACCCAATCCCTTTCTGCTCATACCTTGGATTACTATTACAGCTTCGTGAATGCATTAGCTGCCAACAATGTCTCCAATTCAGATTAGTTATTGAGAGACTATTGTTTTCCAAACCAAATGCTGAATCATTTGTCTCCCATTAACTCATTTAACTCAATCTTTATGATTTACAATATCGTTCATTGCTCACCTGTACAGTTTTTGGAGTCAGACAACCAGAGTTTATGTTCTGGCCCTACCATATACGAGCTGTATGACCTGGATCAGTGTCTTAATTTCTAAAGCTTGTTTCCTAATCTTTAAAATGGGGGAAAATAATAGTTCCTTCCCTCACAGAATTTTACAGTGAAAGAACTCATGCCCTGACTTGCATTCAGTTAGCATCAGTAAATGTTAGTATTGCTATTATCTATCACAAACGTGGTCAGAAACACAGGGGATTCTTACAGTCACTATCTACCTGGTACCTGTCAATGTCAACATTTACAAATTAACCCTAGCAAAATGAACTGTAATCTTAAACATTTTGACTAAAATACAGTATATAAAGAACTATGGCACCCTGAGAATTTAAAACATTCTAGAGTGCCTGTTTACTTAATCAAAGCTTTAGGAAGTGTTAAAAGAAAAACATCAAACAAAACAGGATGAATCTTGTATAAGGGACTCTGAGAATCCACAAGTAAAAAATTTCTCACAAGACATAAGAGGAAAAATCAAACAGACTACATGATCCAAATGGAATGCATTGAAAAACAGCCAGAGAACTTTGGAAAAATAGAAATATATTTTAAAATGGAAAGAAGAGAGAGAAGCCTTAGAATTGATCCAAGGGTTTCAAACTCTACTGTCTCTAGGCCAGATGAGGAACACAGTGAGTAAAAACCAGAAAGGCAGTCTTAGAAGATCTCGGGCATCCAGCCACGGCCTATTGTCCTCACGTGGGGTCGAGGGCACAGGTTGCCTCCCCGACACCCCAAGTCTAGCAATTTATATGGTTTTCATTTGAAATTTTCTGACATGTTAGTGTATTTAGTAAAATGAATTTTTAAAACAGTGTAAACAAAGGTATAAAAACCCATGATACATTAAGAACAAATGTTTCTTTTATACATTTATTACAAACAAAGATGTAGGGAAACTTTGTCATAGATTTGGTCATCAAAAGAGGAAAACAAAGAGACAGAACTAACATTTGACCCATACTATGTGCCTTATATTTAAAACTCTTATTTCAGTCTTAGCAATTTGTTAAGGAGGAAATGTTGCCTTTCTCTAGATCAGACAACTGAGCAGAAGGATGAGAGATCTTGCTGTTGTCCACATAGCTAGGAAACAGAAGGGCAAGGTAGAATTCATATTTAGATCTACCTGCTCAAAACTCCACCACTGCTCTCATGGCCATTAAAATGAGCTTTCATACATTCAACTACAAGGAGTGTAATTTTTTGAAGCACGATTCATTGCTAAGCACTGTTCATTGCTAAGCTCCAAACTCCACCTCCATTTTGCACACAGGCCACGCCTCCCATAGCTGCTCCCAGCCAAAGACAGCATGCCTTGTAGCTGGTTGACAGGAGACTTCGTTCAAGGTCTGCCCAAGGCCTTGCTCAACCTATCTTAGATTGAATGGCAGACTAGGATGCTTCCTTTCTTTTTTCTCGGTCCTTCACCAGAGTCAGACTTGAATTTCAGTCTGAAGGCTCTCCCAGCATTTTCTGACTCCCTCCAATCTTCTCACACAGGTGTTTCCCCTAATAAAAACATGAGTATCCGCTTCCTAGAGGACGCCGACTAACACAATTGCCAAAAGTCCCCAGAGACCCTGAATCTGCCTGGGGAAAAGTGACTTGGTCCATGAGGAAATCCTCGGTAGATACACCTATCTTCAAGGGAAAATGCATACATCCAATAATGATTCTCTCTTAGAAAACTGGAATTTAGCTGGAACCTCTCCTCTCAATCCTGACTCCCAAGAATGTGTTAAGGCGAGCATATGTGAAAACGCCAAAAACAACATCCAGAAACAGGTGACGGTTCAGCCCCCGGTAATAACCTATTTCTGCACAACTCACCTGGTCTCGCTGCTTGATCCGCTTGTAAATATACTCAGCAAATGGTTTGCGAGGAATAAACTTTCCATCTCCTGCTGTGACACTAAGAACTCCAGCTTCATACACCACTTTGCCTCTGGAAATGGTCACAAGGGGCACCCCGTGGCAAACCATGCCCTCGAAGATATTGAAGTTAACAGCCTGATGATGAGTTCTTGCCGAAATAGTCCTGTTTGTAAAGACAAAGACCCTCCAGATCACCACCAGCTCATCTGACAAATATAAAATATTCAAAGAATGACTTTAGAAGAAAATTTAGCAACTCTATTAAGCCGTATTAAGCTTTATCATTTGAACAAGCAACTTCAAGAATAGAGCATAGCATTAACATTTCATTACAAAGTAATTACATTTTCTGAGAGAAAAATCCAATAGATCACTCCTTATGGTGATTAATGAGGATGAAGTGGGTGAAAGGAAGATATTGTCTCTCACGGTTAGATTTTTAAATTAATTTTTACAACACGCATGAGTCTGATGAACACACTGATTCAGTACCCACCCAGCTTTACAGAAGCTTAACTTTTGGCAGATGCATCTGAGGCTTCTTCATTCCCACTCCCCAAATTCCATCCCTGTCCCTCCTTTCCCAGAGGGAATCAGAAATTGGTAGTTGTCAAATTGAACTTGGTCGTTATCAAGGAAAATTGTATCTGGAATTTCTTTCCCTTGTCTGAGGCAAAACTTGAAAAATTTGAGATAATAAAAATAACAAAGCATGTTAGAATATAATCGCTTAGCACGGTCTATGTCATCTATTTGTATATTCATCATTATTCTTAGTAGTTTATTAGTACGTTCAATCTTATACAATATGATCGATGACTTCCAGGCTGGATCCTTGAAAGTTGGGTGACTTCTTCCCTAAATCTCATTTGGTGGAAAGGGGCGGGGGTGGGGGGAGTGATCTGGCAGCAGTGAATAACATGAGCATCATCTGAATTCTGTAGAAGTCTCTATAAGCCCTCTCAAGATAGATTGAGAGAAGTTCTTTGCTAAAATCCCCAAGGCTGGGTCGAAGGAACAGCAGCCCAAGGCTCCCCCAACCCTAATCTGGAAGGATGGAGCTGGGAGATTCAGAGCTTTTGTGTGCTGCCACCCTAGAAATTAACGAGATGGTGCTGGCCTGGATATTGGGTTTCCAACCCTATGGTTGGAATGGTTTCCAACCCTAACATGTCCAAACAGAATTCTTGATTTTCAATGTCTCCCACAACACTCCCACTCAAGTTTGCTTCTCCTTTGAGTTTCTCAACTCAGTAAATGATACCACCATCTGCCTTTCCTCCTCCCTCAAGATATCATTAAGCCTATTGGTTCTACCTCCCCCAAAATAAATAAAGAAATCCCAAACCTGCCCGCTTGGGTAGCTCTCCACTGTTCCCACCCAAGTCCCATGCCACCATCATCTCTCATCTGGACGACCCAACACCTCCTACAGCCCTCTTTGTTTCCCCTGTTACCTTCATACTCCACCAAGAGGGGCCTTAAGAACCAACTGACTGATAGAAAGAAAAGTTGAAAAGATCACAATGAATAAGAGGTAGATACAAACACAGTAACAATAATTTCCAACACTAAGGAGGAGGGGGGCTACTGATCAAATAGTGATGTTTGATAGGAAATAAGAAAATGAATAAAATATTTAAAGGGTTACTAAGAATAGGATGAGTTATGATGAGTTATGAGTTGGTGATGAAAGATACAAACTCAAAATAAATCTAAGGAACAATATAAAGGAGCTTCAAACCTGCAGGTTAAAGTGTTTTTACGACCATCACAGTCTCTTTGTGATACTTCCATAGTCTGTCTGGGCTGTGGTTTCCTAAGTATCAGTTACACTGATGGCAGAAACTCTCCGGCTTGCTTTGTAAAATGTTACATAAAAATGTCTGGACGAATGCATTAGTAAGGCTACTAAATGGAGGAAGTAAAATGCATAAAAATTCATGCTGAAATGGTTACTGAAATACAAGAATGGGAGACAAAAAAGGGGAAGCCCTAAATCATAAAAGTCTATTTTCCCGATGGGAAATTAAAAATTACTGACGCTCTTAGGGAAATAATCTAACAGAAGAAATAAGCTCTATACACAATGACTGTCATTGCAGTACTGCCTAAACTATTCAAAATCTGAAGCATAACAATTTTCTAATGACTATCTGGTGGAATATTGGGCATCTATGAAAGACTACAATTAAGAATATGATAGGGAAGCAAATAAAATGATAATTACATAATAATAAATGGAAAAAAGTTATACAAAGCATGTATATTATATCTACAAGGAAAATACATATGCAGGTAGGCAAATACAAAAGGAAACACACAAAGTAAAGTGTTTTTGTGGGCTGGGAATAAATGAATACGCAAAAAAAAGAAACAAATATGAAAGCAAAAGGTCTGTGACAGCAAAATGTCAAATCAGATTTCTCTGCCTCAGACAAATAAAGGTCATGACCTTGACTTTCTCAAGGGTTCTAAGAGAAAGAAGACAATTAGGCAGCATCTAAGTGATTCTTTGTAATAAGGCATTATGTAAATGAGGTGCAATTAACACAAAATGTAAATTCTAGGCAGTATCACCAGCAGCAAAAAGAATGTGCTTCCACTTTTACATCGGAAGGTGTCTGACAGGGTGTCATTCCTCGCCCAACTCTTGCCTTCCAGCCAGAGCTGCAATTCTCCGGTCTTTTAGGAACTTTCACACTTATGGATCTTGATGCATGCAGTTCTCGTCACTCTGATTACCCTCCTCCCTGTTCACATCTGTTCCCCTCCCTTCCCTAAGACTCCACTCAAGAATCCCGGTGCCATGTCGATTACATTTCAATAAAGCAGGTGGTGGAGGGTGACGGTGGGAAGAGAATCCTGGCCCTCAGAAGCTGACCCCGATGACCCCCAGCAAAACCGAATATCTTCCTCTGTGGCTTAGCACTATCTGAATGCTAAATGATCCAATGATCTCTGGACAAGACCCTCTCTTCTTACCTAGTGCACACTTTAAGACTGACTCCATGTTGTTTCATCCCCAGCACACAGTAGGTGCTTAATAAATATGTATGAAATGACCAAAAAGAATCGCCACGATTTTCCTTCTGTGTGTTTTATTTCCTGCCTCCACCGACCTCTAGGACGTGACTGTGTTTTGGAAATAGAGCACCACATTACATGAGATAGAAACATCTAATCCCAGAGTTTCATTGTTTACTTAACATTTCTGGTGAGCTGTACCAGTTCATTAGCAGTACATAAATAAATGCATAAGGTAAATTGTTATAATTATCATTGTTAATTGCATCTTATCAAGTCATATGAAACGCTTGCTCATCCATACCTAGCAATATTTAGCGATGCCAATATTACCGACAGTTATAAATTCACAGGTAACTATTGTCACCCCACATCCCTGTTGATAATGCTGGATTAGAGCTGTGTGAGAGCTTGCCCAAGGGTCACTCAGTTTGATAATGAATGAACCTCTAACAGGACAGAATAACTCTCACTTAAGAATACTGGTATATTTGTGGGGCGCCTGGGTGGCGCAGTCGGTTAAGCGTCCGACTTCAGCCAGGTCACGATCTCGCGGTCTGGGAGTTCGAGCCCCGCGTCGGGCTCTGGGCTGATGGCTCAGAGCCTGGAGCCTGTTTCCGATTCTGTGTCTCCCTCTCTCTCTGCCCCTCCCCCGTTCATGCTCTGTCTCTCTCTGTCCCAAAAATAAATAAATGTTGAAAAAAAAATTAAAAAAAAAAAAAAAGAATACTGGTATATTTGTAATGCTGCCATAAGAAGGTTAAAAAAAATTGCGGTGCATTTCAATATTTCATTGTTTTCAAGAAAAATAGAATTCAATATCATCACAAGATTTGTAAAATTATTACAAAATGTATCTAAAATCTATTCACTACCAGTGCAGTATGGGAGATGTGGTCCATTAATGGAATGAACACAAGTTCCAAGTCACACAATTGCCTTTGGGAGGATACCTGTTGTTCCTTTGAACATGCTCCCTTAAAGGCAGAGACCTTCTGTTAAGGCAAAAGCCAAGAACATGCCTTCCCAGCCTCCTTTGCAACTGGGGCCCAGTTATGAGATCTTGCCTCCTCCAAAATAGTGCCCCAGCACCAGACTTTGCATGCGAGCTGGTGACTCAGGATGCAGGTGTCACAGGAACTCATGTTGGTGAGGGTGGAGACAGATAAATCCTGCTTTTAGGGCCAGCTGTGACAGAAGTTTAGCAGCAGAGTCCAAGCTTGTTTCATTGAAGCCATCCATGGGAACTGTGCCCAGGGGCAGCACCGTGGCTCTCTCTTGCCCTGTGGTAGGCCTAGAGCATTGGTCCTGGTTGTATAGTCTCTTAGCCTGGTCCTCTGGTCCTTCTGGAGATTCTCTGAGCCACTCAGTGTCCCTTAATACATTTCCCTTTTGTTTAACTATCTAGAGCAGATTTCTCCTGGTTGCAGTAAGAACTTCACCAGATACATCTGTTTTTTTCAATATTTGCAGTGTATTTCTGGGACTTTTAGAAAAATCGTTTGTGGTAATCTCAAAAGTATAAAACTGAGGCCTTTCTTGAGCATGAAGCCTGAGCCCAACTGCCCCTCAGGTCTTGTCTCTGTAACAGATCCTGAGCAGAGGTGAGCATTAAGCACTGTCTCTTCAAGTCCAACTCAGGCCACTGCCCTGCAAGACACAGGAGCAGACCCATTCTTCCTAGAACTTTATGGAAAAATAATGAAATATTCCCTAGGTTTTCATAAGTTGATCAAAGGGGCTCCCTCAGATGCAGCCCAAGCCCAGGTATGAAAGACAAAGTCAGACTCATTTATCCTCCCTTACAAAGCCGGCAGATCTCATGTCACCCGGTGGGTTGGCAGTGCGTGGAACACTGAGAGACCATTTTGAAAGAAAGCAAGAATGGAGGTACCCAGACTCTGGCTAAACGAGAGATTGAGTCAATGGACTCATTCATCATCGTTGTAAGGTTCGGCAACACTGTGAGATAAGTTGGAGCAGGTGTCATGGAAGTTGGAGGTGCATCTGGCTCTTAAGTGGGCCACACAAATAATCCCGTCCTGAGAAATGCAGGGTAGCAAGCACTGTAATTTTGTCCCTTGGCTTTCATTCTCCCTTCCTCTGGTGTCAGCACCCCCATTTTTCTTTAAGGCG